CAGAACGCCTCATCTTTCTCCCTCTGAACAGCTGGTAGTTTCGAACTGCTGACCTTGAGGTTTGCATCCCAATTCGTAACTACTACGCTACCAGAGCCTAGTTCATAGTTGTTGTCTCCCTGAAATTTATATAAAAGAAATTTAAGTAGAACTTATGCCACGGTGACTTCCTTCAAAATAGCATATAGTTCAAAGCAGCCGTTGTTACTATTTGACTAGATGTCTTATTGGAGTCCTGGTGTGGTACTGTGGGTTAATGTGCTGGCCTGCAAGGTCGTTTGAACCAAAGGTTGGCGGTTCAAGCTCACCAGCTGCTCCTTGGAAACCCTATACAGGGTCACTATGGGTTGGAACCATCTCGATGGCACTTAACAACAACAAAAATGTCTTATTATTCTCTAAGAAAACATCAGCGATCCCAAATATGGCTTACCCTTAGTCTCCACCTCTGCCAGGGTTTCTTGCTTTCCATGCTAAGGAGGTTTTAGTCTGTGTACTTGGAATTGTTAGGAAGAAAATGAAGTGTCTGCCTCAGAAACTATGTTTTTGTTACATTGGTTTATGGAAAAACAAAAATAGGGTGATATTAATTTCTTTCTGTTTAAAAACTAACCATTTCTTTCTTAGTTCTGTCATCTCTCAGAACAGTAAGTTATTAGATGTTTCCTGAAATTATCCAGAGGGCTAGTTTCATCTTACCATTAAATGATGCCTCTATTTTCTGATGCTTTCTTCCGGAATGACGGCAGACACTTTGGGATTTCTCATGTGCTTGACAGAAAGAAAAATTATAACACCAAATAGCTTGTAAAGTCATTTTGTGTTCCTAAGATTATATCCTGTATTTAAAAAATGTAATGGTACTCCACGGTGGGACTTTTTAGTCACTCGTGGCTGATGAATTGGCTGTGGCTGTGCTTGTGGTTGGCTCTGACTCATAGTGACCCTGTGTACAAACAGCAGAACAAAAAGCAGGGTCTGATGCTGCATTATCTTCATAATCATTGCTGTCTTTGAACCCATGTTGGATCCCCTTGAAGGTTTTCCTCTCTTTCTCTGACCTGCTACTTTACCAAGCATGCCTTCTCCAGGCAATGGGCCCTCCTGATCACATGTCCAAAGTTTGAGACATGAAGCCTCACTATATTTGCTTGCAAGGCGAAAGCTGGCCATACTTCTTCAAAGACAGATTTGTTTACTCTTCGGACAGCCCATGATCTATTCAATATTCTTTGTCAACACCGTATGCATCAGTTCTTCTCTGGCCTTCTTCGGTTTTCTTTATTCATTGCCTTGCTTTTACATGCATATAAGGAGATTGAAAATACCATGGCTTGGGACACCCTCATCCTCAAAATGATATCTATGCTCTTAACACTTTTTTTAAAGAGGTCTTTTGCTGCCAATTTGTCCAATGCATATGATGCCGTGACTGTTACTTCCATGGATGTTGCTTATGGATCCAAGTAAAATGAAATCCTGAGCTTCAATATTTTCACGATTTATTATTTTCTTGCGTATTGGTCCACTTGTGAGGATTTTTGTTTTCATTTTGTTGAGGTGTATATAATCTGTACTAAAGGCTGTAGTCTTGGGTTTTCATCAGTAATCATTTCAAGTCTCCTTCACTTTCAGCAAGAAAGGTTATATCATCTGCATATTGCAGGCTGTTAATGAGTCTTCTTCGAACCTTGTTGCTGCATTTTTCCTTATGTAGTCCAGCTTCTCAGGTTCTTTGCTTGAGCGTACAGATTGAATAGTATGGTGAAAGGTTACAATCCTAGTGCATACCTTTTCTGATTATTCCTTGACTTTCAAAAGCTAGTGTACATACATTGGGTAAGAATCAAAAAAGCGTGTTTTAGGACCTGATACATTTTTTTGTAAACTACTTGAATCCTTCTGTGTAGCCAAAAATTGAAAAGTTTTATTTCTTCTCTCATCTCCACTTTCCTTGACTGGCTACAAACATACTCCTGAAATGGTGTAAAGTTACCCAAAATTCCCAAGTAGGTGATGTGGTAGTCAAGATTCACTTCATTTACAATTACTTGTTTTATTTCATACTACATATTGTAGTAGGAAATAGCCTGGTGTGGCACTGTGGGTTAACACACCAGACTGCAAAACCGTTTCAACTGCAAGGTCGGCGGTTCAAACTCACCAGCTGCTCCTTGGAAACCCTATACAGGGTCGCTATGGGTCGGAATTGACTCGATGGCACTTAACAACAACAACATATTGAAAGTATTATTGTTGTTAAGTGCCGTCAAGTCAGTTCCAATTCATAGCGACCCTGTATAGGATTCCCAAGGAGCATCTGGTGGGTTTGAACTGCTGACCTTGTGGTTCACAGTTTACTGCTAACCCTACAGTGCCACCTCAGGAGTATTGAAACCATAGTGAGACTTTAAATATGGAAATTAAGCAGACACACATGAAACAGAGAACAGAACAAGTTGGTCTGTAATTTTGTCAGAATCTGAGGTTTGTGGGACTGGCGATTGTAGGAGTTGCCAGCTTCTTCTCAGTCTTCAGTAGTTAAGGCAGGCCGCCCCTTCCCAGCTGATCTGATGCTAGTGCTGAAGAATGAGCATGATTTAGAAGAGGTAATGGGGAAGGGAGAAAGCATGATGCATGTGTGATCCATTGAAGAGATCAGCCAGGTTGGGGTTGAAAATAGACAACGTGGGTGGGTATGATGGAACTTAATAAAGGATGGCCTTGAAAGCCAAGCCGATTTAGACTTGATCGTCAGTTACTGAATGTGCTGAGAAGATTAGGGTCCATGTCGAGGATCTGGCTTCTGTCAGACCGTGGCCTGTTCCTTGTAGTTCTTGCTCTGATCCCAGGGGGTCAGTGTATCCACTTCCCTCGGTAATGTTTTCCATCTGTTCTGCCCATTCTTCCACGTCTACATCCCTCATTCCAGATTTTCTCTTTCAGCTCCTAGCCCTAAAGCAAGCACTCAGGTTCTTTCTTGGCATAACTGCAGACACCTCATCATTTCCTCAGCCTACTCTAATTAGGTTTGCTTTCACACTTCCCCGGGATTACCCAGCAAGGTCCTCAGGGCTGTCTCCAGAACACTGACGGAATCAACAATCTGTTCTTCATTTGACTGGACTCTAAACAATGTGGCCACAGTTGACTACTCCCTTCGGAACCTCCTTCTCCTCATTGATTCAGAGGCTCACACACTGACTGCCATCCTTTCCTTTTCCTTTGCTGGCTGTCCTGCTCCCTCTCTCAGTCTTGGCACTCCTCAGGCTCAATGTTGGGACCCCTTCTTTTCCCTCCTCTAGGAGTGTCATCTATTTCCGCCACCTACACATGGATAGCTCCTGAAGATGGATTAGAAGCTTTGGTGTCTCTCCCTTTGATCGTCCCCTTCTCAGTTAATGGAAGTACTCTTCACCCAGCTACTTACACTGAAATCTAAAAATCAACCTTCATTCTTTTCGTTCATGTGCTCACATTCCAACTATCAGTAGTTCCCTTCAGCTGTATCTCTAAGGTGTTTTCCAAATCAGACTGTTTCTCACCTTCTACACCATTCTCTCCCCTTCCCAAGCCACCCTCATCTCCCTTCACCTTCTGGTACCCATTCTCTCCAGTAGCCACAACTGTCACTTCAAGGCCTGAAAGATCAGATCATGCAGGCTCTCTGCTTCGCTAAAGAGATGGTAATCTACTTCAGGCCTTAGAAAGATGACCTTGTTGGACTTCTGAGAGGCAGAAAGAGGTTTTCCATGGACTGCCTTCCTGGTCATGGCTGCTTTATCTTCTGAAGTGAAAACCAACACCCTTTGATCTGTGATCTCATCACAGAATTAAGATCTTCTGAGTGGAGTACTCTATGCACTGAGGAGGCAGGATTAATTTTTTTTTTTTTGTTTAATGCATTATTGTGAATTATGTGATAGTTTACATGGGAGGACATCAGCTTCACATTGATCCCTTTTTATATCATTTCCTTGCCATGGTTACAATCCCTTCCATGCATCATCCACCAACCACAGGGTATACCCCGCAAGCCTGCCCCCTGGTCATCCGCATACCGCTCCTCTCCCTCTCCGGGTCCAAAGTCTCCAACCACTCCATTTCCCCACGTAATCGTCTCTGCCTCCATCCCTGGCATCATTGCTTCTCTGGGTAGCGTCCTGTTCTCCACTCTTCTCCTTTGATGGTCCCAGGGACCTCCACTCCTAGACTGCAAGGTTAATCACTCCCCTCCCTTTGCCCCAAAACATCTACCTTTACATTTCCAGTTCTTACAATCAGTCCGGCAGGATTAATTTTGATTAAGGGAATCAGGCAGGGCCTCCTAGAGAAGGTAATAGTTTTCCAGGCCTTGAGGGAGGTGTAGATTTTCAGAAGAGAGTGGAAAACTTTAGGATAGCAGAGAGCTTGACCTGAACAACATTACCAGCTATTTAGGGAATGCCCTTTCAGAGAATACCAGGCAGTTTGGAAGGAGCCCAGCACAGAGTCCTAAGAGGACAGTGGACGTGAAAAGGTAGATTAGACCTGGATGTGGAACAACTGTGAAGGCTAGGTTGAGTTTAGTCTTTGGATAACGGGAAATTTGTTCTTAGACTATTGTACCAAGACTGGTTTTTCAGTATACACTTCAGACCTCACTAGATTGCATTCTCCATTCTCTTCTCCACCTGTGGAAAGATTCACAGTAATTACTTATATGGGTACTTTTAGTCTAGTTTTCAGGGGATTCACAGTTACTTATATGGGTACTTTTAGTCTAGTTTTCAGGGGAAAGAAACCCCCAGGTTAGAAAGTCCACACCGTAGGATATGCTGAGATATTCCCTCTTTCTCACTGGGCAGGCGTGGAGACCTCCAGGCCAAGATGGTGGTCAGTGCACCTGATTAGGAGGATGAGCTAGAGTGTCTTTGAATGCTCAAGTGTCCTTTTCTTTAGCAAAGGCAGGGAATGTAAATGCATGCTGTTGTCAGTGACCGTTTGAATTCTCATTACAGGATTAACCACAACGAACGCTTGGAGTTCCTAGGTGATGCTGTTGTTGAATTTTTGACCAGGTAGGTATGCTTTTCTACCATTCCCCAATAATGTTTACATTTTATAGGTGACATACTTAATGCAGCACCTTCTTTGTAATTAGTCAAATTAGGCATTGAAATATCATGTACTTTGTCTCTTCTGTAGCATCAAAAGCCGCGTATCTGTGGCTCCATGCCCCGCTACCTTGCACTTCCTCGTGCTGTAATGAGCAAGATTACAAGCGGAAAGGCTAGTGTCTCCGTCCTGTCAAGTATATGTTAAAGTTGCTTATAGCCACAAGCGATCAGCTTGTCTTGGTCTAGATGCATCCGAGCTTACATTCAATTTGTACAGAAAGGCATGATATTTTAAAATGTCATTTTCATTTTCTAAGATTTGTCTTTGATCCCTTTCTCACTCTCTCTGATCTCAAGGGAAGTAAGGCTTACAAGTAGTTTTAATGAGTAGATTTTTTGGTGAGTGTGTGTGTGTGTGTGTGTGTGTGTGTATTTGTGTGTTTCCCCCCAGAAATGTTTAGGATCCTTCATTTGGGTGTAGAGAGGGAAGGTACCTTCTATTCGTTTTATTTCCATAGTCATATAATGTTTTTTGGAAAGAGATCACTCACGCTTCTCTGAGTAAAATCTAGAGCTGTTTTTATTCTTCAGGTCATTTCTTTCCAGAAGACGAACACAATGAGAAGGGGCTGGCCCTCTAACTCGTTTTTGTTGGGCACAGATGGACTGGACCCACAGTTGAGCTTAGAAAGCGGTGGGAGATTTAGGAGAGCTCATGTGGCTTGTGGTCCCATCTGGTTTTCTTCCCAGTCTCTGCACCACCCTCAGAAGCCCCTTTGGACGGCCCTGCTGCAGAGCCAGCCGCGTGCCCTTCTCACTGTCCCCGTCTGTGCCACCACCGCCACTAGTCAGGGCTCCCGTGGGTCTCTTCTTCAGCCACTCACCACCCAATCCCAGCAGAAGCCCCAATTTCAGAACAGCAAGTATGTCTGCTATCAGCCATGTGTGACGGCTTTGTTGTCATCAGATATCAAAGAAATGTTTGATCTGAAACTGATGTGACATTTTGAGTGTGTTCTTGCTGTTTGGTTTTTTAGTACATTTAGGTACCCTGTGCTTACTATGGGACATTCTGAGACATTCATCAGACCTTTCCGTGGAGTGCAGTTCAGTTATATCTATTGAGTGAATAGGGTGTGCCAGGCCTACACTGGGGGCTCAGCAGAGTGTTGTGGTGCATATTTATTTACATGTTTCTTTCTTTGTTTATTTTGCAGTGTCCATTTGTACTATTTGTTTCCTAGTCTGGAGGAAGGAGGATTAGCAACCTATCGGACCGCCATCGTTCAGAATCAACACCTTGCCATGTTAGCGAAGGTAGAGCAAACACTTGAAGCGTTTGTACTAAAGTCTGACATTCTGTCTTCAGTCCATGCATAATTTTGCATTTCAATAAGCAACTCTTTAGGGTATATTTTTTTGTTGGGGTTTTAAGGATTCAGCCTTCCTTATTCTGATACCTTTGTGGGTTTCTTTAGCGGCTGACGAACACCGTTGTGAGGTATTCTGATAAACAGTGAGGAAAAAAAATGCACAGATGTACACGAGCCGAGGAAAACATTTAGGGAAAGAGAACACAGGAACAGAAGAGAAGTAAGAAATATTCGGTAGTTTCCCTTTGTGTAATGTCTGTACATTTGTTTCTTACTTTACTTTAAAAAGCAGGATTATAACTTTTACTGTAATACTGCAGACCATGTACATCTAACAGGGTACCTTTGCAGATCTTTGAAAATCCCCCATAGCACCAATCCCTTTCAGTGAGATTTAGGGTTTAGCATAGCAGTTCAGCCAGCCACATGGAGTTGGCAGGGCAACTCACAGGTCCTTTCTTGATTCAGAGTCATACTGAGCACTTCACTTATATAAAGATTGGTTAAAAGGCATTGCTACTAGGTTCTGGTTCATACATTCCAAACAAAACCTGTTTAAATGTGTATCTGCAGTCAGCGGATGGTGGTAGCAGGTTCTCTCAGTAATACAATTGTCTTAGTGTCCTTAGGGGGCCTTCCAAAAAAATGGTCTAATCAGAACGGTGGCTTTCCAGAGGATCTGCTGGACCAGTTACATTTAAGGCAGAGAGATCAGCTCAGAAGGTTGTGTTGACTGTTTGGGGGATCTCATAGGGATAGTCTTGGGAGATGTTTTCAGTGAAAAAGGCCAAGGAAGTTGCGGCAAGGAATTTTTTTTTTTTTCCATCGTGACAATACATCTGCTCAATGCAAGAGCTGTTCTACAAGAATTTCATTGGGAACGCTTATGTCATCCACCCTACAGCCCTGATGCTGGCTCTTCAGACTTCTTTTTTGTTCCCCAAACTCAAGGAACGTTGAAAAAGAAAACAGTATGAGTCCCTCAAAGATGCTAATACTGATGCTTTGACATGGTGCAAACCAAAGTGTACAGAATTCTTCAGGAAAGGGTTGTTGTTAGGTGCTGGCGAGTCAACACCGTCTTATAGGGACCTTATGCACAACAGAATGAACCAGTGCCTGGTCCTACACCAGTCTCATCATCATTGCTATGGTTGACCCTGTTGCTGTTGCCACTGTGCCAATCCATCTCGTTGGTGGTCTTCCCTCTTAGAGAAATGGAAAGACCATCTTTAGAAGTGTATAAACATAGACGGAGGAGATGTTGAGAAACAGTAGTTTCACATTTTCAACTCTTTGTTTCATCAAGGTTCCTATGATTTTGTAGCATTACTTTTGACTCACCGCTATATTATCTGATGTCACACAGTGTGCCGTGTGAAGTTGTACGGCCCCCCAGTCTGGCTCTGCATAGAGTGTGCCCTCCTCTAAGTTTAGGTTTCCTCATCTGTAAAGTGGAGACATTAGCTCCTGCCACACAGGATGTTTATGAAGAATCAGTGAGATGTTTGTGTTTGAAAGATTCTGTGTGCTGAGTGACCGGCACAGTGCCGGTTCACAGTCACCGCACAAAGACGGCCACACATTCACGGAGCTAGTTATTTTCATCTCTCTACCACTGTTGTAGTCGAGGCTTGAATTTTTTCTTCAGTTCCCCCAGCTTGAGAAGTACTGACTGTGTTCTTCCCTTTTGGTTTTCTAACTCTAAATCTTTGCCTATTTTATTATAGTATTTGGCTTTATCTTCTCGAGCTGATCTTTGAAATTT